ACCCAGATAGTGTGGCTGCTGACCTTGAGCCAGACATCCTGGAGAGTGAAGTCAAGTGGGCCTTAGAAAGCATGGCTAACAACAAGGCCTGTGGAGATGTCATTCCAGTGGAACTATTTTAAATCTTAAAAGATGATGCTGTTAAGGTGCTACATTCAATATGCCAGCAAGTTTGGAAAATTCAACCGTGGGCAGAGGACTGGAAAAGATCAGTCTACATCCCAATCCCAAGGAAGGGCAGTGCCAAAGAATGCTCAAACTACCGTACAATTGCACTCATTTCACACGCTAGCAAGGTTATCCTCAAAATCCTACAAGGTAGGCTTCAGCAATATGTGGACCGAGAACTCCCAGAAGTACAAGCTGAATTTTGAAGGGGCAGAGGAACTAGAGACCAAATTGCTAACACGCGCTGGATTATGGAGAAAGCCAGAAAGTTCCAGAAAAACATCTACAGTGGTGCCTCGCTTAACAAGGATAATCCGTTCCAGCGAAATCGCTGTAGAACGAAATCCTCATTAAGCGAAATAAAAAAGCCCATTGAAACGCTTGAAAACCCTCCAATGCGTTCCAATGGGCTGAAAACTCACCGTCCAGCAAAGATCCTCCATAGGGACGGCCATTTTCACTGCCTGTAAAGGGAGGAATCCGTCCTAGTAAACAGCAGGGGGCCATTTTGTACACCCGGTGGCCATTTTGAAACCAGATGATCAGCTGTTGTTATATCGTCGTAATGCGAAAATCGGATCCCAAGGCAGGGAACCAATCATCGTGAAGCCGAGTTTTCCCATTTAAACCATTGTTTTGCGACCGCAAAAACCTAATCATCAAGTGATTCCCTCATTAAGCGAGGCAATCGTTAAGCGAAGCACCACTGTACTTCTGCTTCATTGACTACGCAAAATCCATTTTGAAGGAAATCAACCCTGAGTGATCACTGGAAGGACAGATCCTGAAACTGAGGCTCCAATACTTTGGCCATCTCATGAGAAGAGGAGACCCCATGGAAAATACAATCTTGTTGGGAAAGTGTGAAGGCAAGAGGAGCAGGGGACAACAGAGGACAAGATGGATGGATAGTGTCACCGAAGCTACCAACATGAATTTGACCCAACTCCCGGAGGCAGTGGAAGACAGGAGGGCCTGGCTTGCTCTGGTCCATGGGGTCACGAAGAGGCGGACATGACTTAACGACTAAACAACAACAACATTTATAAAGCTTATTAAGTACACTGAAATTCTGGACTTGTTTCATCCAAAATAAACCACCCTCAGAAAAGCAGCTGTATATAGGACTGCAGATTTTAAATACACATTTTATGCACTACATAAAGTGTATACGCACATTTCACTTATTTGAAATGTAGTGTTGGAAAAGAGTTTTACAGATAGCATGACTTGTCAGAAAGATAAGTAAAGCAAATTAAGTGTGGAATTTCACTAAAAGCTAAAATAACCAAACAAAGGGTACTGTACTACCATCATAAGACAAGCTCACAGGAAAAGGTAGCAATGCAAGAAAAAGTGCAAAGCAATAGGAAAAGAGAAAGATTGCACATGAGATGGACTGACACAATAAATAAACCCACAGTCTTTTGGTTGGTGTTGCAGTCAAAGTAGGACCAGGAGCAGAAAGACTGGGATTCAGATTTTGGGAATACAGTGGTGCCTCGCATAGCGATTGCTCCGTTGAGCAACGAAATCGCTTAGCGACGGAGTTTTTGTGATGCGGCAATAGGAAAAGAGAAAGATTGCACATGAGATGGACTGACACAATAAATAAACCCACAGTCTTTTGGTTGGTGTTGCAGTCAAAGTAGGACCAGGAGCAGAAAGACTGGGATTCAGATTTTGGGAATACAGTGGTGCCTCGCATAGCGATTGCTCCGTTGAGCAACGAAATCGCTTAGCGACGGAGTTTTTGTGATGCGCCCTATGGGGTTTTTTCACTTTGCGATGATCGTGGGGAAGCGATCAAGGCAAAGCGACCCTTTTTTAACAGCTGATCGGCAGTTTCAAAATGGCCACCGGGGAAACAAAATGGCTGCCCGCTGTTTTTTCTCGCTTAAGAGGCAGCGAAAATGGCGGCGCTATGGAGGATTTTCACTTTAAGGTGAGGTTTTAAGCCCATAGGAACGAATTAATTGTGTTTTAATGCGTTTCTATGGGCTTTTTAATTTCGCTTGGCAATGAAATCGCTTAGCAATGTTTTTTCCGGAACGGATTAACGTCGCTAAGTGAGGCACCACTGTAAACTGGGATACTCTTGCCTGCTTTGGGGATGACAAACAGAGAAACACAATTGCTACACACTTCAGATTTCTGCTGTTCTCAGCAAACTGCAGCGCTAAATGCAGTGGAGATTAACAGTTTTGAGTCTCTCACATACACAATGCACAATTTTTCCTAGGTTTTGAGCCACTTTTCATTTGTGAGTCACACACACACACAAACACACACACAAAATTTTTCCTAAACTTTTAATTCTATAGCATTAACACAGAACACTTTGACAAGGAAAAAAAACAAGTTCCCAAACTCAGGGTAATATTTATACCAGATTAAAGTACACACATGAGCACACACAGAGAGACAGACATTCCTTCTATTTTGTACATACATTTGAAGTCGCACGTTCCTTCCCTCCTTAACAAGCAGCCTTTCCCTCCTGCTAGCAAAGTCACCTTAGGTGGGCCGGAAGCAGTCATTTGACTCCCGGGGGCCAGCTGTAACCAATCAAGCAGGCTTATCTCCGATCTCTTGAAGAGATCTCTTAAAGAAGGAGTGCAGGAACCAAGGAAATTAGCAAAAAGAGGTAGCTGACGATGGTTTGAGGTTTGGCTGTGGGGTGGGGGGGATAGCGGGGGCGTAGTGCTATACTTGCGTGCCAAGGGAGACATCTCTTTCTGCCACAGGCGGCACGCGTGCCATAGGTTCACCATCACTGGCATAGACTAACATGGCTATTTCTTCTGAAACCAGGAAAACTAAGCAAAATCAACTCTACTGCTAGTGTAACTTAGCTTCCTGTGTTTTTAGAAGAAATGAAATTTTAAAATGCATTGACTAGTATACTTAAGTAGCTAACAGTGTTGAGTGTGAGTCTTTAGCTTTTTCAGTTAAATATTAGCTCAGCCAGGACCTCACTGGCTGGCCTTAAACAAATGGCAATCTTTATTGAAGTTTTTTTTTCTATGTGGTTGGGAAATGTTACCACCAGATAAGATTATTATCCTAATTTACAGAGCTGCTATAAGGGTTGCTAAAAGCAGAAAAAAACTTTGCAAATCTACAATTCTTTGAAAAACTCTGAAGAGATTATGTCATTGCTAGTTATGATATATGCACCAGTACAAATGCTAGTCATTTTTTTTAAAAAATGCTCTTTGCCTTCAGCATAGAATCCTACAGGCAATTTATGCTTGCTCAGCAAAGAAGGCAATCAATACCTCATTAATGAGTGGCAATTTGCCACCAAGACATGTGCAATTTCCCTTATGCAAGTTAAAATCACTATTTTGGCCCTTATATTTTTGGGAACTTAGGAATTTGCACCAATTTATATCCTAAATCTATTATTCCCTGTCTTGTGACAAATCTCACACAACTATTCTTAGTAAAGAAAGCCAGTATGATACCGCTGGATTAGAATCTGTGTGACCTGTTTCCACATTTTTATCCATAACCTAACCTAACCCTACCCAACCCTAGCATGGCTTATCAAGGTATGTCCAGAACCTCACCAGTCATGATTCAATCTTACATAAAACACTGCCACCTACACTGTAGCAGAATTCACACGAGAATCCTGTTACTGTTTTGTTCCATCTAAAAACAGGAAAACTAATTGTTGGAGTATAAAATTACACCACTGTCATTATTTATAGGAGGAATGTGCATGTCTGATTCTTAATTAATGAACAAATAATAAATAAATTACCGTTTGATTCTATAATTAATACAGTAATTCCGGAGGCCCAACTGACTAAAACTGAGATGTGAAATCTTAAATATAGGAATAGAGCCCAGATATCTTCAACTGTGGTTGAACTGTTTCGTACAATTGAAAGAATCTAAGGATTCTCTTAGATGCTGATCCTGTCAAAATTCTGAAGGACAAAGCTCCCATAACAGCAGATCTGCCCAAGAATCAGTATAGTCCCCAAAACAAGGAGTATTATATGAAAAAGAAATATCTCTCCCCCCCCAAATTCTAATAGCATCCCTCTTAATCACATTGGCTTGAAATCCTGTTGCTTTGTTATGTAGGTGGGAGGCAAATGACATAATATTCACACAAAACATTATATGGGTATTAGTGATTTTCAAGCTCTGGAACATGGCTCTGATGGATAAATTAACTTCTTACAAATACGTTATGGAAGGAGAAAGATAAACATTGCTGCATGCACAAGAAAATATTCTAATCTTTTTCTGCAGCAACACTTTTCAAATTTTATTGTGATTTATACATGTTTTCCTACTGTACATATTTATTTATCTTTATATTAACAATATGTGTTACAAAAGTGATGCTTTGCTACAATAATATATATGTGGACCTCTCAGGACAATGGATATCAGACTTGAGGATTGGGACAAGTGGAGAAAAAAAATCAGGGTATAGCAACAAAGGGAAAAGGCAGCATAGGAAGGCAAGGTCAGAGATACCACCAACATGTACTCTGTTTCCTCACCAGTTGAACAACCCAGAAACCAGTACCAGGAGAGTACTGAGTATAGGCTTAAAACTTTGCAATGCCTCTCAAAAGTTCCATTACGTCTTTAAAAATTAAATCAATGTTATCTAAATAATATGAATTTAATATTGATATTTTTGGTTTTTTGGTAAGCAAATACAAGTGAATATTTTTCGCCACATCTTACATTTATTTCTGTATTAACACAAAGTATAAAACTATGAATGATCAGGAGAAAAAAACTTCCATAATTGGCCGCAAAGAACGAAGTCGCAGCTCGAAGCCCAACTTTTTTCTTACCTGTATCTTCAATGAACTGCACACATTTTTCAACAAAGTGGGGTATAGGCTTTTCAGGTGTAACCAGATCCTGCAGCGGCATTCCAAAGTAATTACTATCCCAATTTCTTCGAGTTGGAGGATTGAATGTCTTGGTTTTCTTTTTTTGCTACAACAAAATAACAGCATTCTTAGCAATAAGTGAAAAACATAATATATGTGTAAGATCATACCTGGAGCCAAAAAATTCTCATACAGCAAAGTTAATTTTGAATATATTAATGCCCTTAGTAAAAAGAGCAACAATACTCAGTTATATTTACATTCTTTTGTGCTCCAGCTCATACATGGTAGTGTAAACTAAGTAATAATGTGGTTTAGGGTGTTTAAACAATAGTGGCTTATATCCAAAGTTATTGCTCTCCAAAGCGCTTCCATTCTTGAAAAGTGTCCTTTCCTGTATTTTTCACAATTCCTATCTTCTCCTGCAGCTCATTATGTCACTTCCTAAGCAAAGATGGCGAAATTCTGTTTTATCAGAAGCTTCTTCTCTTATATGCTCTGAAGAAGGTATTTTCAGGTATTTCAGTTCCCTATACTGTATATAACAGATCTGTGTTTTGCAGGCAAGAAGGCTGAGCACTGTGGGTTGCCCCTGCAAAGAACTGAACTGTGTTTTGTATGCTGGATGGGAACATGTCAACAATAATTAATATAGCAACCATCCACTTTGCTCTTCCTCTGCCTCATATTGTTAGCTTTACCAATAGCTGATACTTATCCTCTGAGACCTTTTCAAACAGGAATTAGGTCAGCTAATTATCACTGTAGCATTCCTGGTGCAAGACTCTTTACAAATCTTACTGCAGTTACTCTAACAATCCCACAAGTCAGGTCAGTACAATACATAGGATTGGGTACGATCTGACTTTGCCTTTTCAGAGGCTTTTCTTTCTTCTGGGGAGACTCAGAGTGGCTCCTAATGAGAGAACTCTCCAGCCATGATCTAAACCAATCTTCTCAACATAATCATCTCCATCATGACTTCCTCTCATATAGTCTTCAACTGCCATGATCCTGTACCATTGGCCATGTTACTGAGTCTAATGCAATGTGGAATGAACAGTACCTGGAAGGCATCAGACTGGGGTAGGTATCCTACACTAAAGTTGCCTGGATTTGAGGGACTGTGATTTTGCTGGGAGAAACCTCTCTTTTGTGTACCTTTTTCTTTAGTAAACTTGCAGCACGGAGTGGGGCATGCTAGCAGTCTTGTGGATACTAGTGGCAAGCCACACAAAAGGCTTCTGAGAGCCATACATGTCCAATGTGATGTAAAAACAAAAGCTGTATGTTAAGAGGAACTTTCCTCAAATTGATAGTATTTACAATGCAGCTTTAAGATTGACTTGATATCTTGAACCTTCAATAATCAAAAGGTATCTCTTGCTGTGCTTGAGATGAAACAACCTACATATGCAAATGATACAACTGCAACTGCAACCCTTTCTACAACTACAGCTACAAAAGTTAATTCTATACAGTCAATCTTTTGCAAAGGCTACTGAAATTATTATGCAGATGACATCCTTCTATCTCTGGCCCAGGAGTAATGACCCGGAAACCCTCTAGATATTTTTACATTCCACCTCCTATTAGGTTCAGAATACAGAGCAGATGGTTGGAGTAATACAGATTGCAGTGCAAGATCTGGAGGACCACATACACCAAAACCGTGTTCCACTGAACTTACCCAACAAAACATACATGCATACATTATTATTTTTAAAAAATAATTCTGCTCTGTATTGTTAAGATTTTTAAGGCACATTGAATCATGTCTGATAATACCAAATACCCATCAATTTTTACATTATGCACCGTATATTAAGAAAAGAGACACTTCAAATGTTGGCTTATCAACATCTGAAATACACTGGTCTTCACAATGACATATTGTACCCAGCAATTACACTGGTCTTCACAATGACATATTGTACCCAGCAATTGATTCAACACATTCAATTATTCCCACTTGTCAAAAACCCAAGTTTAACTCCAAAGTAACTCTGTAGTACCGGAACTAACTTTCATTCCTCCTGCAGCCCTCAGTGCTATCCAAAATCTAGCTCTGGGGGATGTTATGCCTCTCTGTGCCCTCCAAAAAGTTTTTGGAAGGCACAGATAGCTGCAATGCTTATATGAGATAATTTCTGCCCAATTTTGCTGACAAAAGCAGTTCCACCAAGACATTTTCTCTCTCCTTCAGGTCAAAGACTAGAACTGATCAGAACCACACCTTCTCATTTAAAAATAAAGATACTGCAAATCTCCTCACTCGAATAATTTAAGCCTTATATTACTGTTCCGAATAATCTCGTGATACAAACAAATGCACCAACCTAATTAGGCACATTGCTGCCATTTTTAAAACAATAATGTAAAATTACATAAAGCTATGTGTTTTGGAAAACGAATACGTCATAATGTTAATCAAAGTATTTTTAAAAGACAACTTACTTTTTTGTCTTCTTTTACTTTCTGAGTTTTCTTCTTCATCTTTTTATCATCCAACTCTTGATCTGAAGTAATGGCAGGATTGTCAATGCCACCCTTCCATGTTTCTACAGGAGACAGAAGTGGATCTTCTTCACTGCCACGATGTCGTCCTTTTCTTTTTGTTTTAGATGTTGTAAAAGCTTCATCATCACTTGCATCTGAATGTGCTCTCCTGTAATAAGACTTTGCTTTGCTGAACAGAGTTTTTGATTTGTATTTGTATTTTGAAGGTCTTCGCTCTCCTTGTGTCTTTGAAATTCTATCAGGAAACCCATTTTCTTCATCTCCTTGGGCATTATTTATAATAAATGAATTTCGAATTTTGATCATGCGATTCTGACTATCATCTGGAATTGCGTAGATATCATCTGCAACACCTCTATGCTTAAAAATAGTATCTATAGGTTCTGCATAATTATCAGACTGATCAAGTTCATCAGATGGTGCCAGAACCATTCTGGATTGTTTCCTTGGATTTTTACCAATGCCAGCCTCAATAGTTTTTACAAGATTTGGATCTAGTTTCTTCACATTTGTCTTCGGTACCATTGGTTTCGGTTTTATGGGAGGAGGCACTTTATGGTTGCGTTCATGATCATGACAGTTGAGAGGTGTGCTATGAACAGGATATTCATTACCTTCCAAATCTAACCGATACTTTGAGCGATCAGGTGTAGGGAGCAACTGTACATCATCTCCAATTGGACTGTAAGGAGGTGGGGCTTCAGTATCATCTTCTGAATCTGGGTAATAATTGTACGCGTGAGAGCCTCCTCTGGGAGAATGCAGGAAAACATCCTCACTTATATGTGTTGCCTCTCTTGTACTATCAGACATGTAAGAATTTTCAATCATACTTTTCTTCTCCAAAACATCACTGAAGAACAGTGTAAAAACCTCAGTCTGACGATGATACTGAGATAGAGAATATAGAGCTGTGAATTTAGCAGTAATCTCAGTGGCTATATGCTCACCCTCCGTCATTAATTCTTTAATGGCCTCATTCTCAAAGAAATCTGCCTGACTGTCAGTAACAGCCACCAACTGGACAGGAATAGTATCCTGTACTTCTGAAAGAAATGCTCGAAGCATTCCCATAGATGCTTTTCGTTTGGCAGAGTAAACTAATATATACCCATGAACAAGTTCATCTTTTCTTACACCAATTGAAGAATGATACGATAGTATTGTTATCTGTATTCGTCTCCGTTTTTCACCTATAATTTTATCGAGCATTAGAGAATTATTCTGGCCAGCCTGAGCTGCACTACAAGAATGAGAATCAAGGAAGGGTGAAAGAATAAGATCCACACTGAATGGGTCTCCACACATGGCACACATAACTATCCTCAAATCTGCTTCTGAGAGGTCTTTAATTGTAGGAACAGGGCTTACAACATCAAAGTTGTGTTTAACTGCTTCAAGAACTCCCCTCAAGGCCTGTTTTATTTGGGCCTCGTTAAATTTACGTGGATAAGTACCAGCAGGCACATCTATAAAAGGACACTGCAACTTGTTTGCCAACTGCTGTCCTTGGTGTCTCAGAATTGGCAAATTCTTACTAACACTCTCCCTCTGATTCGCCAGTATTAATGTAAATGGAAGATTGGCCATATATTTGTCTCTTCTTATCTGAGATGCTTCTGTCCTGATTTTTCCAATAGATTCTCCAATAAAATTAAGTGATTCAATTGAATTAAATACACAGAAACATCCATGTGGTTTGAAGGCAGAAGTCCATAATTGACTTAGAAGATAAGGTGACTTTGCATCCACTGGCCTAAGATCAAGTTCATATATTTTTCCATCTAAGGCATACTCATCATCTGTAGACTGTGTCCGAATCTCATTTGCCAACTCTTGTGCAAGGCCATCTTTACCCAAAATAAAAATATTGACTTTATCAATGTTGGCACTATCATGATAAAAATTTGAGCGACCATGGTCCAGCTGCAAAAGACTACCAGCAAGTAACTGTTCTACTTTAATGTCCATGCAGTTTTGGCCACTGAGACACGTTTCTTTAGTGGGATGATACACAAACCCTATATGTTTAAGTAGAAGAGACTCCCTATCAGGTGCAAGTTTTTGTAAAGCTTTGTACCTAGGCTCTTCACTCAAAACTGCATGAATTTCACTCATTTTATCAGAGCTAGGTGTTGCATTTAAATCCAAGTCATAAAACAGTTCTGAATGTTCAAAAAGCATTTCCTGAAACTCTTCTTTGGCTTTTTCAACTATTTCCCGTTGATGCCTACTATATACTTCTCTACTATCAGCCTCTGTAATATATTTAAATGCTTCATCCTCCATTACAAAACACATGACTTCTTCCCATGGTTGCCCAGGAGAGATGAACTGTATCTTCTCAAGTGTTTTTTTGAACTTCTCCTTCATTTCAACTCTCCTTTTTTCAGATATTAAATGCTGCACATGATTTTGATAGACTTTTTCAGCTTCTAGGGTGCTCAAAAGGTCAAATGGAATTCTCCTGTCATTCACTTTATCTATATGGTCAGTTTCATCCCAGGGTGTTTTTTCTAGCACTACAAAACATAGTTGGAAATCTGATCTTTTCTCCATCAACTTCAAAGCTTCTGGCCAACTCAAATGTTCAATCTCTTCAAGGTTTGACAGAAGTGTATTAAAAGCTCTCGGTAATGCGTTAATATATTCCTCTCTTCTTTTTCTTATATGTTCTTGCTTAAGCTGTTCTATATGTTTTGAAAATGTATTTTTGGCCTTTTTTGTACCTTCTAAATTAATGTATTCTTCATAATCTGGGTGATTTTTCAGTTTATTACTAACAGTTTTCCAAGTGGCATGATAGTCTCTCACAGTCTGCACAAGTTTCTCAAATTTATCTGTCGAAGTTACAACAAGTTGTCTCTGGGTTTTATAAGCATCCAGATAGGGAATTATTTTAGGCTTACCACGGGTTTTATCCATCATTTGTACCAGTGCAGTAAAACATGTTTCTACATTGACATTGAATCTTGCTGATGTTTCTATTACCAGAAGGTTCTTCTTATTTGAAGCAAAAGCCTGAACTTCCCGCAAATAATGTTCTACACATTCATCACATTTTGTTGCTGCTATTATTATAGGCTTTTTAGATTTTGATATCTGAATGTACAGGTTATTTACAAATTTAAGTTGGTCATCAAACTTCCTATTGCATCCTTGACTTACATCAATACATAATAAGAATCCATCGATGTTTAGCTTTCCCTCAGGCATTTGCTTCTGCTCAAAGTCTTGCTCTAACCCAAGCTGATCTGTGCAAATATACATAAGTTTTTCTGCTGACTGCAATTTTGTTGCAGCAGCACGTTTTATATAAGGTTGTAAGTTCGTACTCCGATGAGGCAAAAAAGTCTGATCATCAATGAATTCGGTTTGTTCAATAACATGAATTTTGCAATCTATTCCATCTTCTCCACATTGTATTACGTCACCCCAGTATAAAAAGTGATCATTATTAACAACTCGTCCACCAAAGTCAATTGTGCTAAGCACAGAGGTATGTTCAGGGTAATATTCATCTGCTTTTGAACGCACAAACCTATTGCACAAACACGACTTTCCAACTCCACAGTTCCCCTTGTCTTTTTCAGTCCCAGAAAGTCCAACAACGCTGATAGCATATGATGGGGGACGAGGTTCTTTGTTCTTTGCCATCATAATGTTCTTCTCATCCTTCTGTATTTACCAACATAATTGAGCACAGTATTCATTCTTGAAAGTGCTTCTACACACTAGCATTTTATCTGAAAATTGGCAAAATTGATATCCATCCTTCTGGGATCAACATGCTTGCAATAAACTTAGGTGTTCAGGATCAAATGGTTCATATTTCTGAAAAAAGAAAGATACGTTTGTCAATTATAAATACAAAAAATTTCACTTTTAATGTGGAATGCAAGACAGAACTATATAAGATTTCATACTTAACCTATGTACATTACTACTACTGAGTGTACCTCTCTCTGTCCATTTCAAATTCCCTCACAATCTCCTCTCGCTTTCACCTCTTTTTACTGTATTTCATGAAGGTCATCTACTCACTCAGCCTGAAGTTGATTCTCCTGGGCTAGAAACCCATTTTCATCCCATTCCCCACCCTCAACTCGGTATTGTTTTTACTCTCTGTTACCTCCCCATCATTTGTCTCTCCATTCCACCTAAGCAGCCATTTGGTCAGTACCAGTTTTGCTTGAACTGGAAATCTTCTAATTCTCTCTATATCAGTGCTTCTTCTCTTTCCCTGAGCATTCCCACTTAATGCCTGGAAATGCCAGTGGTATTGGTGGAAGTAGAGGACATGCTGCAGTTTGAATCCTGGAGTAAGGGTTGGAAGAATGAAAGAGGCAGAAGGAGGTTCGAAGCATGACTGAAGCATGCTACGGCCCGTATTGTGAGCAGTATGTGCCATTCTCTCTTACTTAAAGGGTACTTCAGAGAAGCCCTGACCAGACCTCCCCATACAGACTCCCTCTCAGTCCAACAAGATGAGGGATTTTTCACTTGCTAATTTCTTTTTTGTCTATTAACAATGCAGTACTAGAAACGCCTAAGAAGAATGCACCACTAAGTTCAATAGAGTTTACTGCTGGTTGAGTAGATATAATTGGAGGGACTGAATCCTTGAGACACAAAGTAATTCTGAAAATGAACCTTAGTTCCCCACTCTGTTTTCTGTCTCACTCACTCTCACATACATGTACTTTAACCTCCATTCCCTTATTCCCATTATAGACAAAATGCAGTTGCAAAATATGAAAAGCTGCTATCTATAAAAAGAAGATAAGAAACAAATTTTAATTATTTCCTATAATGCATGCTTGAATTGTTCTAACAGTCATAGCGGGGGACTGGCACTTTAACCCTTCAGCAACCATATCATGTAGCATATACTGTACACTGATAATCCATAACATTACAACCACCTGCCTAACATTGTATAGGTCCCCCTCATGCTGCCAAAACAGGCCTGATGCATCAAGGCATGGACTTCACAAGACCTCTGAATGTGTCCTGTGGTATCTGGCAACAAGATATTAGCATTCGATCCTTTAAGTCCTGCAAGTTGTGAGGTGGGGCCTCCATGTATTGAATCTGGTGTTCCAGAACATATCAGAGATGCTCAATCGGACTAAGGTCTGGGAAATTTGGAGGCCAAGGCAACACCTTAAACTCTTTGTCATGTTCCTCAAACTATTCCTAAACAATTTTGGCACTGTGCCAGGGTGCATTATCCTGCTGAAAGAGGCCACTGCCATCAGGAAACACCACTGCTATGAAGGGGTGTATGTGGTCTGCAACAATCTCTAAGTAGGTGGTACATGTTAAAGCCGGGGTCACCAATCCCCGGTCAATGGCCTGGTACCAGGCCACGGTCTTAGCAGGGCCAGACAGCAGAGACAGATCTCCCAGCCCCTCACATGCCTCCTCCATGCACGCACGCACGCACACACAGGTGCCCTGCCCACCTATGTGTGGAAGCACAGGTGCCCCGCCCAGCTGTGCAAGACCCACCCCCATCCGATTCGTGGTTCGGAAAAGGTTGGGTACTACAGTGTTAAAATAACATCCACATGAATGTCAACGGCCCAAGGTTTCCCAGCAGAACATTGCCCAGATCATAACACTGCCTCCACTTGTCAGCCTTCTTCCCATAGTGCATCCTTCTCTTTCCCGGATAAGCAATGCACACAAACCAAGCCAGCCATCTGATCTAAAAGAACACATGATTTATCAGACTAGGCAGGCTTCTTCCATTGCTCCATGGTCCAGTTCTAACAGTCATGTCCCCATTGTAGGTGCATTTGGTGATGGACAGGGGTCATCATGGGCACTCTAACCAGTCTGTGGCTATATAGCCCCATAAGTAGGAAACTACAATGCACTGTGTATTTTGACAACTTTCTATCATGGCCAGCATTCCATTTTTCAGCCATCTGAGCTACAGTAGCTGTTCTGTGTGATCAGACCTGATGGGCGAGCCTTTACTCCCCACATGCATCAATGAGTCTTGGGTGCCCGCAAACCGGTTCACCAGTTGCCCTTCCTTGCACCACTTCTAGTAGTTACTAACCACTGTATATAAGGAATATCCCACAAGATTTGCTATTTTGGAGATGTTCTGATCCAAAAGCAAAGCAAAGTGTGATGCTTATATCCAGTCATCTAGCCATCACTATTAGGCCTTTGTCAAAGTCAACTCAGATATTTTCACTTGCCCATATTTCCCACTTGCAGCACATGAAAGTCAAGAACTTTGACTGTTCACTTGTTGCCTAATATATCTCACCCCTTGACCAGGTGCCATTGTAACAATATAATCAATGCTATTCACCTCACCTGTTGCTAGTTTTAATACCAGTCATCTAGCCATCACTATTAGGCCTTTGTCAAAGTCAACTCAGATATTTTCACTTGCCCATATTTCCCACTTGCAGCACATGAAAGTCAAGAACTTTGACTGTTCACTTGTTGCCTAATATATCTCACCCCTTGACCAGGTGCCATTGTAACAATATAATCAATGCTATTCACTTCACCTGTTGCTAGTTTTAATGTTGTGGCTGATCAGTGTACATAGAGGAAAATCCTGTTGTCATAAATGTATGCTGTACAACACAAATTACATCATCTGGGAACAAAAATCTTTAATTTAATTAAATTTAAAGTTTTCTATCCCCTCCTTCCCTTCAGGTTCTGAGGCTCCAGTTTCATTTATCTGAAATGAAAGTCCTTGTGTCTCAAGATTGTCTCAGGGCAAAAGGGATCCCCAGGGAGCTGAGGAACTTAAAAGGGGGTGGGATAGATATTTCCATTGTTGGATGATGACATCTGGACTGTACATCATAAACTTACACCGACAGGATTTCAACCAGTTTGTATTTGCATGTAGTGTAGAAATCTATGACTGAAATCCTATTCAATAGCTCCATGAGCACAATGAAGGTGATGTCATCACCAGCAACAAATCACTGATTAAAGGTGATTTTAGGGTGCATATATATATTATGCACCCTAAAATATTATAAATATATATATAATACAATGGACCTCAAAATCATCAAAGGAAGTATTTAATGAGTAGCAATTTGCTGCTGATACTGTCACTGCTGTTGTGAATTTGGAGCTGCACAACAGGATTTCATCCAATGGGTTACTCTAAAGTTCTCTAAGCCCCAAAACTGGAACATCAATCACAGCTGGCTACACACACTTTTAACAAAGGCAACAGCAATTTCACTTATTGCAAAACAACTGGTCTAAACATTCAACACGTTTTGCTTCATATTTTGGCTTTTACAAACCTACAGACATCCCAGAACTATAACAGAGAGAGCCAGATAAACACAAACGCAGATACACACTTGGTTATAGAACTGCTGGAGAGCTCAATGGTTTAAGTATCTGGCTGTGGAGCAGAGATTGGGAATTTGATTCCCCACTGTGCCTCCCTGACAGGAGCCAGACTTGATGATCCATATAATCCCTTGCAGCTCTGCAGTTCTAAGATGATGATGATTTATCTAAAATTATTTTTATTAATTTATAAAAAAATACCTGTCTTTTCAGATTGGTTAAAGCTCAAGTTCTGTAAAGCACTTTAAATAAAAAATAATAAAGAATAACTCTTGTGAGGTTTTTTTTAATATCAATTGGAGTAGGAAAATGAAAAAACCATACCTTGCATGCATTTAAAGGTATATCCACTAACTTGCTTCCTATAATTACCCTGATGCAGAAAAGCCAAACTTAATGAGCAAACACTGTTCTGGACATAATCCTGGAGAAGTACAACTATTGCTTAAAAATAACAACCAATATTCAGCAGTGCATGTGTAACACTTTTACATTAACTGCACAAATCTAAAAAGTACATAACTAATGTAAATATGATTATATGGAGGCACAACGCATTCCACACTGTGCCATTTGTTCTACAGATTTCAGCTGAGGTGACTTCTATGTAACTGTTCTTAGGACCAGAGCCCAAATTTTGTCTCATATACCAATCTTATGGCACTGATGATTTCTCCCATTTAAGACAATGAGATAACAACATAATCAGCAACTAGCATAAAATTACAAAAGCCAAAATAATAAAAACAGAAATGATTTCTTCAAGAAATCTCACTAAAAATTCTCAAATCACATAGCATTATTGATATTATCATTTTTAGAAAGTATAAAACTCATGTAATCAACTTTATACATTAATTACATCACATGATATTAGCCTGGCAAATAAAATTATATCAATAAATCTCATGGTTCATATTGTATTCTTTCAGAACACAGTCATTTTTATTTTACGCATTTTGAGCTCTATTGAATGTTTATGCAAAAAGACAAGACATAAACTTTACCTCTTTCACTGTCATCAACTGAAAAAATGCAGGTTACACCAAGGTCTCACATTAGTTAATCAATAATCTATGTAACATCATCAGGTCTTTTCATGAGAGAATGAAGGGTGCCATAGTTTTTGATGGCTCAGCATCAGATCCCTTTGACATCAGAAGCGGAGTGAAACAGGGCTGTGTCCTCGCACCAACCCTTTTTGGGATCTTTTTTGCTGTCATGCTGAAGCAGGCCTTTGGAACTGCAACAGAAGGTGTCTATCTCTGGACTAGATCAGATGGAAAGCTCTTTAATCTCTCTAGATTGCGAGCAAAGATCAAACTCCAACTGAAATGTATGCGGGACTTCCTCTTCGCCGATGATGCAGCTGTTGTTGCCCACTCTGCTGAAGATCTCCAACAACTCATGAATCGTTTTAGCAAGGCCTGCCAAGACTTTGGACTAACAAGCAGCCTGAAGAAAACACAAGTCTTGGG